GGGAAGGGGGATGGGTGCTAGAGTTGAAGCAACATTGATTATGTAGATATTGAGTTGGGATAAACTTTGTATGTGAATTAACTTAAGTATTTCTGAAGGATTTCGAAAAATAATTTTCCATTATATTCTACAATGGAATTCACTTATAAAGTTATGATATCCATGTTCAAGGTTGTTTCAAAACTTTCGCATTAATGTGTGTTAGGATCATCTTTAAAACTGCTGATATTGTGATGTGTTGTTGTCTAAATATTATCATAATATTGTAATAAGTAAATTATCTACATATTTCTTGCTTCTTAAATGCCACAGTCACAATCAAAATCAAAATCAAAATCATTCACCTGTCAACTGTTATTGAAGATGAAATTGACCTATACCATTCTGCTTCTTATATGGTGGTCTGTATTCTATTTGCATGTCTGCAACAATTTTGTTTATGACTTGGAAATGTGCAATTTTGTTCACACTTACATGATTGGAACACCCATTACTGCCCTTCCATCAATCAAAAATATTGTGAATGATGGCATTTGTTTGATTTTCCTTCTCATATTTCTCATTATATCAGCTTGCTTCAGTTGGCTCATACTTCAACCTGTGAGCATGATTCTGGCCTCATATCTTGGTCTTATTTTCCTGAGTTTATCGCAGAAGCCACTCTTATCTTTCTTTATCGCAGGTTTGCACGCAACGCTCATGGAAACGGCCTTATGGCGTTGGCCTGTTGGTTGGTGGTTTAGACGAGTCTGGTGCTCACCTATATTACAACTGTCCAAGTGGTAATTACTTCGAATATCAAGCTTTTGCAATCGGATCTCGGTCACAGGCTGCAAAAACATACTTAGAGCGCAAGTTTGAAACTTTCATGGAGTCTTCACGGGAAAATTTGATCAAGGATGCACTCTTTGCCTTGAGGGAGACATTACAAGGGGAGAAACTAACAAGCTCGACTTGCACAATAGCTGTAGTAGGAGTTGGAGAGGCATTCCATATGTTGGATCAAGAAACTGTGCAGGCGCTAATTAATGAATTCGAGATAGCAGGTGAAGAGGCCCCTGCAGACGAGGCTGCTGCTCCAGATCAAGCTGATGATTCGGAATCCAGTGCTACTGCCGCTGATAAGGTAACCCCCTCTGACCCAGATGTCGCTCCAATGGACATGTGATAATGTCATTTTCTTTGGAACCTTTCATTGTTAAAGAAATGAGTTTGTCATGTTGAATCCCGACTTCCTATCGGAAGATGCTAGCAAAACTGGAATTGTGGGATTTGGTTGGCATCTTAGGAATGTTGTTTTCTGGTCGAATACTTTATTTGTATGTAATGCTTCATCTGTGCAACAATTTGAGTGTACCTTTGTCGAACACGATCATGAACTTCCTATAACGGTATCGTTTTGGTTATGATATTTGTGTGTATCTTATTATGGTCGCAGTCGTGATTGTAGTTCAATTTGATCACACTTGTAGGTTCTCCATCTTTCTTTCCTTTCTTTCATTATTCTCATGAGTAATGCTATTTAGCATGACTAGAGCAGCCGAAGTGGCAAAATGAGATGCACTGTTCAGTTGGTGACATAATTCAACTTTGAAAGGAACATGTTAAAGTATCACCTAAATTGAAATTGTAGGATCGTACTTTTTTGAGTTTTTAGTTTCCCCTTCCCCTTACAAATGTGCGAAGGATTATAAACGAACCTAAAAAGTTCTAATTAGAAAAGTAATTGACTCATTTATAAATTTTGAGACATTTACTTCCATTGATTTTGGGTATGCTAGAGCACTATTTTATCAACTGAATCTTAAATTAACTGTTTTGACTACTTTTTCGATTAGATTTCTATTTTAATTCTTAAAGCAACATTTTCGTTGTGGCAAATTTATAAAGCATTTATAAAGAGAAATGGTAGTGTGTGTCCCACAAAATGTATAAATAAGTTATAATTATGAATGTATGATAAAAATAAATATTTGATTTTAACTGAATTTATAAATCATTTATAAGTTGGTTGTCGAACCGCACCCCAATACAACCCTTGAGTTTCCCTAAAGCAGCCCATTGCACAAATCATACAAGGCATTGTCTATTTGCGACGTTTGTTGGGCCCCACTCATCTCACCTAACACACTTCTATCGGCAATGCTAAATCCTATGACATGAAAATTTGTTGGACAAAGCTACAGCAACAGAGCTAGTGACATAGGGCTTGACTGAATACACACATACACAGGAGGTCGGCATTTTTTTATTCAAATGGGACTTGTGGAAATGTGAGATGATGTCACCCCATCGGTCAAGCATTTTCGTGTACTTCAGCAAAATTCAAATCTGTATAGGATGTCAATAGCTCATGTGATGTTGCAAAAGAGTGAAAACAGAGATCAATTTACATGATTTGCCATCATGTGTTAGTGTAAGATCATAATCTAAGCAAATTCAGCACAATGAAAAGTCTCAGTTACAAAGAAACCCACCCCATTGTCTTTGCACATAGCTTTACAGACTAATTCCCTCGATAAACCCGGTAGTGGCCGAGGAGTTGGCCAAGTAACGACAATAATAAGTCTACCCCCAAAACATGTTTAGTTTTATCCGTGAAAAAAGATGAACTATTCTCTACATTTTGGCACAGGTCTAACAGTAGCAAAAACTAAAGGCGAAGTTACCCGTGAAAGATCTCATTAAGCAGCCTTTGGGGCTTTATCCAGCAGAACATTATCAGGAAGAATGAGTTCCAGAGGAGTTCCACGAACGACACCAATCATTGAATCATACTCCTCATCACATCGAGCAAACTTCTTACACAACATCTTTTAAAGCTCGATCTCATCAAAAGATTCGGCATTTTTAGCAGCATTGACTTTTCGCAAAATTTGTATATCTCTTCTTCTGCAAGCTTCCCTGGGACCTTGGCTGGATTACCTCCCCACACCTGTAACGTGCAAAAACGCATAATAGTATTTAACAATGTTTTAAAAAGCATAAAGTGTGGCGAAACGTGAAAGTCGAGCTTTGGCCTAGGCACACTTGGACACCCTTGGCGTCAAAAAGCATAAAAAAAGTCTTTTCTTATTTTATTATTATTTTAAATTTTTAAATCAATCTAAAAAATTCTTAATAATTAAAGAAAAATGCGTGAAAAAAATAATAAATAAATAATTGCCTAGGTGCGACTATGAGCATAAATAAATAAACAAGCGCGAGGTGAGAGGTTTCGCTTCCGTTTCGCACCTAGACATCGCTTTTTAGAATGCTGCTATTTAGTCTGTGAAATTTAAAATGCAGTTCAACCTTTGGGAAATGCCTATTCTTTTCGATTTTTGGGTCTGAGCCACTCAGAGTAGAAACTGTACCTCGCCAAAAGGGACTCGTGTTCTGTCTCACAAGGGTTCCCGCAGCAACCACCGCATGTTTCTTTACAACGACACCATCGAGCAGTGTGGCTCCCATGCCGACAAATGTGTCGTCCTCAATGGTGCAGCCATGTATAAAAAGCACTATGAGTCTATGAGCGACATGTGCAAATAGGATAAAGTGCATGTTTGGCAAAGCTTTCCTATGTTGCAGTCAAAATAATTAAAATTCTCTTTTTTATACATATAATATAATAAGAAAGAGAGATTTAGATACGTTTGAAACAATCTGAAAGTTACTATAAGTTATTTTTAAGCTTAAGAAAACGTGTTGAAGATACATAAGTATCAATTCTAGAACTCTCTATAATGCTAAGAAATAAGTAAATAAATAAAATAAAAAATAGATGACATGAAGTCAGAAATTAAGAGCCCGTTCGGTTTGTATTTCGATTTTTAATTTTGAGTTTTAAGTATCTATTCTAAGATTTATAAAAATGCGATTGGTTTATTATTTTGAAAAATTATTGCTCAAAACTAAAAACAAGAAAATGTTCGATTTTAAATTTTGAAAAAAAAAAANGGGAACAACATTATTTTCCTGTTTTCCTATGATAATCAAATTCAAGTTGTCCAGATAAAATATGAACAAGTGTTCATAAATTGAAAAACCCTCATCAAGTTGCAGAAACAATATTATTTCCTTGTTTTCCTATGATACAATCAGTTGGATACAGTGGTTATCAACAATCTATCTAACAATAAGTTATAGGGAAAATTGCAGTCGAGGTACCAAATCTTTCGTTTATTAGCAGACTTTGCCCAAATCTTTAGTTTGTACCACCCACAGTCCCAAACTTTTCAAAAATATGCACCGGAGGTCCAAATGGATGGAAACCGTCCGTTTGACCATTAATTGACCAATAAAATTGAATTTTGACCAATTTTTGACCAATTTAAAAGGCTATAAAGGTAAATTTGCTATTTTATTCTATAATAAAACAGATAAACCAATATACAAAATAAAAATAAAAGAAATTACTATTCATTTTCTTCTTCCCCCGCCCCCTTCACCCCACCCTACACTACCGTTGCTATAATTTTCCCAATAAAAAATGGTTTCTTTTTCACCCTACCCATCCCCAACCTACTCTCACAGCAATTTTGGGTTAAGATTATTCCAATACTCAGATCCATACCTCCCCAGAAGGCAATGAAGCAGATGATGTTTCAGCTATAGCGTTTACGAGTGACAGTGTCCATGAAGAATTGAACTCTACTAATTTCATAACTACGCCTCAGATTGCCAAGTCTGAAAATAATATATCTTCTCGTCATGGTATTCAAGACGTGGCAAGGAAATCCATTGGAGCGAGTTCTTCTGGAGTAAAGTTGAAACCATTTCTTGCTCCTGGTTTTCTGGAAAAACGGCCACGGAAAAAATGTGTCAAGCAAGGTGTCAGTGAACCGACTGAATTTTTGCTGTGGGAATAGGTTGGGGATGAGTAGGGTGAAGAAGAAACCATTTTTTATTGGGAAAATTGCAGCAGCGGCAGGGTAGGGTGGGGGAAAGAAGAAGATGAATAGTAGTTTCTTTTATTTTTATTTTGTATATTAGTTTATCTGTTTTATTATAGAATTAAATAGCAAATTTACCTTTCTACCTCTTTAAGTTGGTCAAAAATTGATCAAAATTCAATTTTATTGGTCAACTAATGGTCAAACGGACGGTTTCCATCCATTTGAAGCCCCGGTGCATATTTTTGAAAGGTCTGAGACCGTGGGTGGCACAAACTAAAGATTTGGACAAAGTCTGCTAATAAACGAAAGGTTTGGTACCTCGACTGCAATTTTCCCTAAGTTATATAAAAACACAACAAGGTCCTTATATTTATTTATATCACAACCATTCATTCAGATGGACGTAGCCTATGTCGATGAAAATCACAAAACCGTAGGCAAAAACCATGCTAATGAAAATGATAAAAGCAATCGGAGAAAATAAAAAAACAATGTTATAGAGACTGTAAAGTGGAAAAGTTTTCAGTTAATAAATTTTAGTGAAGTTTATTAAAATTTAAGTGTTTTCAATTAAAATTTTAATGAAATTCAATGAAATCTTTTAAAATTTAGGTATTATCAATAACTAGTAGATTTATAAATACTTTATTAAGAATAACAGTATTTGCAGTTATTTATTATCGTAGTCGTCCTACGTGCTATACATATGACGGTTGTTGATTTGATATATATAGCAAGAAAAATTACCACATTAATACATCAAATCACAAACCATCATGTAGGATGCTATGTAGGGCGACTACTGCAATGAGCAACTATGAATAACATTACTCTTCTATTAATAGAAAGATTTTAAAAGATTTGAATGAATTTCAAACTTAAAAATACATATAACCAAATCTTTTGAAATTTCATTATATTTGATTATGTTGTTATGACACTTGTAGAATTCCATACAAATTCACGAAATTCATTATGATTTATAATCTTTTAGAATTCATCAAAATTATAGTTGAGGACCCTCTCGTAAAATCTTTTAAAACACTGTGATGTAGGACTCATTATAAATAGGAAGTCAATTTTATAATAGGTTTTTTTCCCTTTTAAATTTGGATTTTTTCCCCCTTTTTAGGATTTTAGCATTCCTTCCTTATATTTGTAGAATTAGATAATTATTTAGCTTATTCAAACAAAATCTTTGCACACTTTTCAATTAACCAATTCATTATAATCAAATTATTCTATATATATTTTTGAGTTTTTCTACTTTATTCTTGTTTCAAGAATTTCAATTCCAGTTTTGCACCGCTTGCATATAAATTGTGATTAGATTGCTCTAGAATCTAGACAGCCCAGTCAATTGGGCCATGGACCATATGGATTCCAGACAGCAACGCCTACTTCCTGTAGACGGTTTTGCAAATGGTAAAGATCGTCAATTCCGACGATCTCTATCCCTAAAAATCACAAATCTACACAACCCTAAACCTAATACATTTATCTCTCTCTCTCTCTCTCTCTCTCTCTCTTTATATGTGTGTGTGTATATATATATATATCTCAATGAAGCATATGGACACAAAAATACTTGATGTATAAAATTAAAAGTTAACTACAATGTGTAATAAGGAAAACCTGTCTCTCCCATAGGAACATGTCACATGTGTACCCTGTTTTTTGGCCAGGATTTGACCCTGACCAAATAGCACGGCTCATGTAATAAAACTAACCTTGTTGAGAAATGACGATCTCCAACAATGACCAACATGGGTTCGAGTTTGGGTCATCAATGTTGGTCTGTAAGTCTTCAAAATCATTGTGTCAATTATTATTATTTTTTTTTTTCAAGTTTTTCACTCTTGGGCGTTCTTGATTTTTCCATGTTTTAAGCACTTTTTACCTTTTTACTTTTTTATATGGAGATCATTTGGTTCAAATTAAAATATGATTTTAATTTAGGTCAAAATCAAAAAAATCAATATTAACTATATCTTTTATGAATCTCACGACTTTTCATTCACATTTCAAAAACTTCTAATACAATCTATTAAAAAATTTAGAGCTTGTTTGGTACAACTATTAATTCAATTAAAATAAATTTTTTAGATCGTTATTTTATTATTTCAGTCGTAATTTTTAAATTTTTCTCACAAGTAGGATCCACTTTATTTTTAACGATCAAAAAATCAATTATAAAAAAAAAAAAAAATTTAAGGTGATTGTGGTCAACCCGGCCATCTACGACTAATTCCTCCCCTCGTAGACCCGACCCTAAACACAATACCACATTTCCGCATCCTTTCTCTGGCAGTAGCTATCTCCGAGCATTCTTCGCCTCCCACAGTTTTGTACGTATTTCCAGGAGGAATTGCACAAGAGTATTCCCATACGATTCTTATAACTCAGAAGAAAGCGGCATTACTACAGCCTGTTTCTTAGCTACCTGTGTAAGTTTCTTTCGTCAAAGATTTGAAAACTTGGTTTAAAATTAAGAAAATTGAACTTGGTTTGTTGTGTTCTTTTTGAGTTTTTACTCTCGGTGATTTATTGATTTTGATTATTTCCTAATAAAATATTTGAATTTTTTAATTACGAAACTTGATCTGGGTTTGTTGTGTTTCTCTTTTGCTTTGTACTTTCTGTGATTTCTTAAATTAATTTATGCTTGGTTACTTGTCTGTACTATGGACAACTAGGGTATAATTGAAGTTTGTAGAAAGCTTTGTGTCTATCCATGACCCATATGAAAGTATGAATTGGACAAGAGACAAGAGTAGTCACTAAAAATTCTTTTTTGATAGGATCACTACAAATTCTTACTAGTAGATAGTACGGGCAATGGTTTGGGTGGTGGTGATTTCAGAGCCTTTTTGTGAGTTTCTTTTCTCAAAGATTTGATTATTTGGTTTGCGAGTACAAAATGAATTGGGTATGCTGGGGCTCGTTTTGATCTTTTACTTGATGTGATTTCTTGAACTGATTTATGCTTGGTTCACATGCCTTTGAGCTTAAACTTTTGGTATTAATTTAAGTTTCTATAGCGCACATGTCAAATGATTGGAGGATAGTTCCTTTCTTTTTTTGAATGGATTGTGTATGTATCTGTAACTTATATGAAAGTATTGCTTAAAAATTGAATCTGGTTTTGTTTATTTATGTGTGAAGAACCTGTATGCCTTCAAAAGTCATTTCATTGAAAAAATTGGGAATTCTGTAATTGGCTAATATAAATTTTAATTTGGGCACAGGAATTTTGTCAAATTTTTGTAGTCTTTGATGGAATTATGTATTCTACAACTAAGCATAAACTGGCATTGCTGTGAGTGGTTTCGATATCGGATCATGTATGTCTGTTCTTGGCTGCCTGTGTAAGTTGTCTTTCTCATTCAGTTATTTGTTTTTCTAGTACAAAAATTGATCTGGGTAAGCATGGTTAATTGAAGTTTGTATGGTGTATTTGTCAAATGATTGGATGATATAACACTTTTTCATGTGTCTTTAATCTAAAATCTTAGGGCTTATCGAAGTTTTTGTGGTGCATTTTGTCAAATGATTACATGATGTGGTGATCTTGTTTTTATTAATGGTGCATGCATTAATAACATGCATTGCTCTGGGTGGTTTGAATTCAGAGCTTGCCTGCAGTTTCTTTGCTGTGTGTTGAGTTTTTTCCCTTCACAGATACGCTAATTTACTTCTTTTCTGGGGAAAAATATGAACTGGGTATGTATGCCTTTTTTGTCTTTTACTTACCGCAATTTCATGAATAGTTTTTGGCTTGGTTTATGTCTGTATATCTAAAATCTCAGAGAGCAATTGAAGTTCGCATGGTGCTTTTTCCATATCGTCTGTCTATCTATAACCCATTGTGAATTATTGTGTATAAATGAATCTCCTTTTGCCTTGTTCTCAAGAACTCACGTGTCATCAGAAATTAGGGTTTACAAAAAAAAAAAGGTATTATAGAATTGGCTAATGAAATTTTTATTGTGGCAGAGGAGTTAGGTTAAATTTACGTATTCTTAGATGATTTTGTACAACATGTTCTCCCTTATGAAATGTCGGTAGTACCCAAACAAGTGCCCCTCAATTGGTCTGTTGTTTGAACCCTGAAATGTAATTTTCTTGATTCTTCTCCCCTCCATGCCGATTGCTAAGCAGTTAAAGCCTGTGTCTGAATTGAAATATGTGTTCCTCCATTTCTTTCAAAGGCTTTGTATACATTTCTTTTCTCTTTCTATTTATATTTGTCAGCAGTATGTTGTATATTTGTGTATTTTCACTCTATTTGCCTACATCTATGACTGAGTGAGATATGCAGAAATCCACCATGTCTATACAAGCTTAGTGTCATTTGCAATGAAGTTGGGGTCTACTACATTTTGATCACCATTTTTTACTGTTAACAAAAAGGGATAACACATGTTACTCCCATGTCAAGTACGTGGAAAGATGGTAGATCTTGTAGAAGAATTAATAATTTAGTAGTTTCAACTATATGTCAAGATTAAGGTTAGGAAGAAGATCAGAAATGAGAGTTTAAATTAGGTTGAGCTTAAATGCTAGAAAGCAAGCAAAAAAATGTTTTAGCTCCCTTTTATTTTAGTTTATTTTATTATTTTTATTTTTATTTTTATTTTTTTGGGAGTGGGGATGGGGGAAGTGGTTCGTTTCATCATAAGCTTTGCCTGAACATATATTGTTACTTACTCAATTATATTTTTGGATGTCTTTCAAATTTGCTCACGAGGGAATAATTTCACACACTCCCTATTTGTTTCCAACCTTTGTATTTTAGGATCCCTTATTTTCTTTGTTGCTTGGACTTGGATGTGGGTTTTGGATACGGATACATATCTAGGAGTTGCATTCTTTTTTTTTTCTTTTTTTTTTTTTTTTTCGTGAACTATAGAATATGGGGATATGGCTAAAAATGATTCAAAATCTAGACTCGGATACATGGATATGTCTTATAAACAATTTTTATAGAATTTATACACTAATAATTTTAGATACTAATAAAATTATTTTAAGTTAGAAGATTAAATGCTTTATTTTATGCTGCTTATGTAAGTTTACAGACCGTTTATTGATAGATGGATGACCATCATATGAACAGATTTTGTAATTTAAGGTGACCTCTTTCATCTGCCTTTCAAAAATTTTGGTGAAAGAAAGGAGTTACAAATGGCTACTTTATTTCCCGGTGATCCTTCCCATCAAGGAGTACATGAACGAAATTATATGGTTTCTCAAGTCAATCTAGAAGAAGGTGGTGGCCGTTGGTATATATCTAGAAAGGAAATTGAAGAAAATTCCCCTTCTAGACAAGATGGCATTGATTTGAAGAAGGAGGCTTATTTACGCAAGTCGTATTGTGCTTTTTTACAAGATTTAGGCATGAGGCTGAAAGTGTAAGTCCTCTTCCTTGTTGGTTAGTTTGTTATGTTCATTTTTATGTTTCTTGTGTATATGAAAATGCAATTTGCATTGGTTGGCCTACCAAATGGATGAACAGACTTTAGAATGTCAGCCATATCTTTGAAATTGTATTTCTCCTATTTGTTTAGCATTGTATAAGTTTATGAATATATTGCTATTCTACATGGTGGAAGGGACTTTTATTTTAGGGATGTTACGTATTGTGTGCATACAATACATACATGCACAAGCATGTACATGTGTATTTATTATGTGGGTGTAACAGATGGATTGATTGATGGGGGTGGGTGAGATATGAACGTACATGTATCAAATTTTGAATGGTTAAATATTCATCTATGGACATGTTGATAAATTTTATGTATTGGTCAATAAGGAGAGGTCGTGGATTCCTGCTCGGCAATATGTGCATGTATCCATCTAGCATCATTAAAATATGTACAAGAAATAAATTCATCTGCACCCTTTGAATAATTTTCCTCTGCACTCTTTTTGCGTTGAAATGTAATATATCTAAGCTGTAAGATTTTTTCATTTTTATTTTTTATTTTTATTTTTTTTTTCCAAAATGAGATCTGAATGCTTTATTATGCAGGCCGCAGGTAACGATCGCTACGGCAATAATTTTTTGTCATCGTTTCTTTCTTCGTCAGTCCCTTGCAAAAAATGATAGGAGGGTGAGCTATATTTTCTTCACTTTGTTATTTATTTTATCTGTAGCTAAAAATTTTTATAGTATGTGGGTACTACATCAAGGACAGTGACTATTAGCCTGTTAATAAGAATAATGGAATGCAGTCCAATGAGTGAATTAATTATAGGATATATTTTGTTATTAATAACATCTACTAGCATAGAAATTGCTACTAAGCAGTTTCCAATGTTGTAGTGTTTATGAATTTGGTGGATAGTAACTATACTTCATGTAAACTGGGTTCCGATCGTTCTGATAGCAACTACACCTCTGTTTAGGTCCTTGGGGAATTGCAGGAGTTAATGATAAAGCAACTGTTATTTGAAAAAGAGATGCAGAGAAGCAGCAAAAAGAATAACGTATACCATGCAAGAAACAAAGAAAACCCCACCCTAAAAAATACTTAAATGTGATCATTTTATTTAGAGATGAAGTCGTGAAAAACACAAAGGGCTGTACGGGTATAACTAAACATAATCACCATATGGCTATGTTTTATCCTTAATTACCCTGATGATTTTTCTGTTCACATAAGTGATAATTCGGTGCCTGATTTTGCAGACCATTGCTACGGTATGTATGTTTCTTGCTGGCAAGGTTGAAGAAACTCCTCGTCCTTTGAAAGATGTTATACTAATGTCCTATGAAATCGTTCATAAAAAGGATCCTGACGCTGGTCAGAGGATCAAACAAAAGGTGGTGTTACCTTTGTTCTTCTTTTTATCTTTCTTGTTGGCCTGCTAATACTTGAGCTTGCTTCTTTTATTTGCATGTAACTTATGGCCTGCTAATTTTTTTTATGCATTAAAATCCATGCGTTATTTTCTGTATTTAATATATAAAACATTGCTATATCCCCTGCAATCAGGAATGCTATGTATTATTCATTCTCTTCTTTAATTTATAATAATTGAGCTTGTTCCTAATGGTTCTGTACTACGTAATAAAGTTATTTGCTATACATTCTTTTGCAGGAGGTATATGAACAACAAAAAGAACTAATTTTGCTGGGGGAGAGAGTTGTTCTTACAACTCTTGATTTTGATCTCAATTTACACCATCCATATAAGCCCCTTGTCGAAGCAATTAAAAAATTTAAGGTTGCTCAAAATGCATTAGCTCAAGTCGCATGGAATTTCGTTAATGATGGGTATGATATGTTGCTTATTAAGGTTCTAATAAAGAGACCATCCATGGCCATTCTTCCTCTTTTCTTTTTGACCCGAGAAAGCCGCGTGCAGGCTTCGGACATGTCTCTGCTTGCAATTTAAGCCACACCACATTGCAGCAGGTGCTATTTTCCTTGCTGCCAAGTTTCTCAAAGTAAAGCTCCCATCTGATGGTGAGAAGGTTTGGTGGCAGGAGTTTGACGTAACCCCATGCCAATTGGAGGGTTGGTTTTCCTAGCCTGCCTTTGGCAGCAGTGTACATAGTAGATTTGTGGTGTTGGATAACACCAATATCAACTTTTCATGATTTAGTAGAATGAATCAAATTTAATATGGTGCTTTTAATTGAGTTTGATTTTTAACTGAAACTCGAAAAAGAGAAAAGGGGGAGGGTCAAGGATGTTGCTGTTGAGAGGAATTATATTGCGCATTTATATTCTAAAATAAATCTATTTTTCCCATATTGACCAGAGGCTTGATTCCTTGCAGAGGTCAGCAATCAGATGTTAGAATTGTATGAACAAAATAGACTGCTACCTTCTCAGGCTAGTGAAGCAGAAGGAAGTGCTGGAGGCATTCGACCTCAGCCAAAAACTCCTGCAAGTGAAGAGCATGTTACTGATCACATCAATTCATCGAAGCCAGGAACTTTAACATCAGCGAGGCCAGTTCCTGATCAACCCCATGCTGATAATCAAAATGGGCAGCCAAGAATGACTCAGGCTCGAAATGATGACTATGGAAGAACCAACATGAATGCAGAACTAAATAGTATTCCGGATCACAAGGGAGATGAGATTGATGACATTTATAACCGTGAACGAGAGGCATTACCTCATGGGGGGAATACGGGGGAGATCCAGAATAAATCAGAGTCGGGTTTGGATGGACATGGTCAGGAACATGAAAAAGGAAATACTGGGAGAACTGAAAGGAGGAATTCTTTGGACCTGAAGGATAAATACCACAGCCGAAATCCAGGGCCCAAGGATGGTAAGGTTGGCCAGTCACCTCAAGATGCTATAAAAAAAATCGACAGAGAGAAGGTTAAAGCGGCTCTTGAACGGAGAAAGGCCCGTGGGGACATAACTCGTAAAATGGATCCTGTGGACGAACTCGAAAGAGAATTGGAGGATGTTGAATTGCCTGGTCAGAGTGAGAAGATTAAGCATGGCAGAAAACAAAGCTGGTTCAAGTCTTCAAATAGGCCAGAGCGCGAGAACTCACATCATGCAAAATATCCAGATGAGGTTGGAGATCTGCATTACCAAGCAATGAAAGGAAATCCGTCCCATGGGAAAAAATTTGACTCTGTAGAAGAAGGGGAAGTGGAATTGGAATTATTTGATGATGCCGACGAGGGATATCGGTCACCAAGGTCGAACAATCGTAAGAGGAAGGCTAGTAGTCCCCAGACAAACTTGTAAGGTAAAGCAGCGAAATTATTATCTGTTAGGCTTTCATAACCATGATTGAACATGCAAGCAGCTACTGAAGGTTCGACCAAAGCTTCTTGTTCAGGCGACTATTTGGATTCATTGCCATATGTGATCCCCCGCCTCCCTGGACTTTTGGTGAATGTGTTTTAGATATCCATCTCTGGTGATTTTATCTAGTAACCATTGAAACTATCCATAAAAGAAAGAAAAAGGAGGAAAAAAATAATAATAATAACAAAATTAAGTTTTGATGGGGACTTCTGATATTGGTCCAGTATTACATTTTCCTTTTATATATATATATATATATTTTCTCATTCTCCTTACTATGAGATGAGCTTGATGACTATAATTTTATGCACACATTTCTCATTTTAATTAAAATGACACTTTTTACTGTTACCTTGAGCACTGCAGTTTCCCTTTAGTTACTGTCTGTAATCTTTGATGTCCTCTGCTTAGTGTGCCCCCTTCTCTTTGTGAAATTGGTTGTTGACCTTTGATCCAAATAGTTGATCGAAAAAAGAAGTCAGCATTCCTTTCGAAGTAGTAGATTGCATGTTTACCCTTTCCTCCAAAATGAAGTTCGAACCAGTCCCATTGTCCTGGAAAAATTTCGCTCTTATCACTTGAACTAACCTTTGGTCTCTGGTTATAAAAGCCCTTCATTCAGTCGTTTGGTTGATTTCACCTCCCCACCCTTTCTTGGTTCAGGAGAAGGGGACAAGATTAATTAAAAATAAAAAAATAAAAAATACGTACTTGGCATAAGGATATAGTTTAAGGGCATGCCCTAACTCGTCCTACGCCCTCGATAGGGTTAAGAGGGACATTTTGTCTTGGAGTCCTATTGTGTGTGGTGAGTAATATCGCTTCATCTACGTCTTCAAATATTTGTCAATAGGTGACTTTGTCAATAGGTGACTTTACTGCCTGGTAATAGTAATATCGCTTCATCTACGTCTTCAAATATTTGTCAATAGGTGACTTTACTGCCTGGTAATGAGAATCTTCAGCACCATGATAACTCGTGATGAAAGTTCTGATACTTGGACTTGATTTGAAGGTTTGAACTATGTTTTCTTTCCCTCCTTTCAAATTTTAATGTTTGGAATAGTATTTTTTTCTGAAGAATGTGTGGTTAATAACGAAGGAAAAGTTACGGATTGTGTGGTTGAAAGTAAGCGTGAGAAGAAAAAATTGAAAGAGAGAGGAGGCCGAACTGGGCGGGGGATGGGGGGGTTAGTTTTTTCACTCTATTCAAGCAATTTAACATCCTCGAGCTTTGTTTTGACCTCATACAAAATATATATTTTACGAGTTATATCTTCACACTCTCTCTCTATCTCTCAATCTTTTTTATAGCATCTTAAGGGGCAGGCCAATGGTACCATTCCTATGGACTAGATTTCTACTATGGTATTTATCCTTTGGATCCAAATTTCTCTTGTTCCTTCTCTCGATTCTCCCAAAATCCCCTTCATGTCTCACTTCATGTCCTTCGTAACTAAATCCTTTTTAGAGGTCCATTGTGATCATCTGGTGAGGTAGTGTCCTTTGACTCATGATTAGCCCTCAGCACAGTCAGGTTCTGTCCGATTGTTCATGAACCCGAAGCAATGAGTTTGGTTCGATTTTATATAAATATAACAAGACAGTGAGAGCACCCCAGATTGGCTTGTGTTCAGTCCTATTTTCTGGTTCAAATTTTTATAAGATCTTGCATCTGTAGTTGTATTTTCCTTTTCTTGTATTTGGGAAAACAGGGTGATGAGGATTAATCTTGACTAACAATTCTTGCTGCAATGGAATCTTTCTCAAAATGAAAGGTAAAACCAGGTTGATGTATAGTTCAAGATTAAATATCCTAGTTGCCACTGAACCTTTTTCTAATAGTTTCCAATTGACATTAATCTTTAAAAGATTTCTAAGATGCCATTCAACTTTTTGAAATGTTTTTCAGTTGTCACTGTACTTATAAAGTTATTCGACTTGACGCTGAATTATAAAAGTTATCTGTTTTGTTATTGAACTTGTTAAAATATTATCCCATCCATTATTCTGTAATTTGTTGTTTAAAAATTAATGAATTTGACGACATGAAAGTTGAAATGATGAATGGAATAACATTTTTATAAGTTCATCAAATCTGTTAACTTTTAAATGGTGAGTTACAGATGAGATAACATCTGGTTAGTTCAATAGCAACTTGAACGGCAGCAATTCGAAAATATTTGGAAAAAATCAATGACAATTCGAAAACATTTTATAGTTCGAAATATTTTAGAAAGTTCAGTACAAAAGTCTCATTTAGTCAAGTGCCTTAAGGATGAAGCTTAATTCCAAGAGCGAATCGATTATGAACCTTCTCCTTTGACATCTCATCTCGAAGATGAATTTTCTCTTATTGTAGGTCGGTCCGGCGCCTGACCTGTTGACTGATTTTATAACATAACACTAAGCTTCTTGAATAGAGATCCAATGCCTTGACTCCAAATGATGATCAATCCAGGGGTGGACCCACATGGGGTCATGTGGGGTCAAATGACCCC